CAGCCATAGGTCCGTCACATGTAATGTCTTTACCTGACAGATACTGGTCAGGTCCCAGATAGTGTCTCCCTCCTTCAAGAAGTAGCAGAATAGAGAAAGAAAAATGACAGTATAATACTCCAACTCTTGACAAGTGGGGAAACTGAGGCCCAGAAGTGCTGCATGTCTTTCTTGATCCTATGCACAATATAGAGAGATATACAGGGCAAGGCTCAGCTGCGGCTCTTGTGCATTCTAGTAAACATCTTTGGGGAAAGGATGGACATTCACATTTTTCCTTCATTTTTTATCACTGAGTCACTTTTCAGTTCAAAGCCAAAAATAAATAAATAATAAAAAAATAATATCCCCTGGGCTGGAGTGACCAGACTTTCAAAACTTCCTTTGATATAGGACACTGTGGGAGGACACAGAAATGTAAACCACATTTATAGATGAGTTCCCCTTTCCGCACATGGTGATTTAAAACCCTCTCCAATTCTCCAGTGAGAGAACTATGTTTCACCCAGATAAAAATGTGTGGCTATTTTTCGAGCGTTGGCTTTGCCCAGCACACTACATGCAAATAAGGAAGGAAAGGAAAGAAGGAAGGAAGGAGGGGAGGGAGGGGAGGTCAGGGGAGAGGAGAAAACGGAGGAAAGTGCCCAGCACGGGGCAGAGCAGAGGTCCAGGCCTCTGACTTTCTCCTCTGGGGCAGGAAGGCAGCAAGTCTCCTGAGGGTTGCCATCCTGGAGCTCTTCTGCGTGGAGAGGCCCTCAGAGCTGTCTTGGATATTACTCACCAGGCATGCAGAGAACCTGGCAAGACATTGGCAAGGGTTCCCAGGGCTGGGGCCAAGTAAGAGAAAGGCCATTAGTTGGACCGTAAGAGTGGCACATTCGGCCCCCAGGACTGCTGACAGTTAGAATGAAGGAGCAATAGCTGAGTACAATCACCCAGGCTGAACTGAGCCATGTGACCACCACACTGTGTTTTCAATTATTCCCGCTCCCCTCTCTGTCTCTCTTGGTGCCAGGCCTGGAGGAAGGCCCTCTCCACACAAGCCCAGTTCTGGCCTCTTCACTTCGGCCCTCCCAACTGTTTCTTCCCTTTGACATTTTCTGGGATGGCAAGGCTCATTTTGAACAGTCTCTGCTTTTAAGTTCAGGGAGACTGCCTTGCCCCTCTGCCTCATTCCTCCCATCCCATTGTCCAACTGTCCCCAGGAGAGGCCAGCTGTGGACACAGCCACTCCCTGTGGAAAAGACTGCTTTTGACAGCTGACAATACTTGCTGGACACTCTGAAAATATCCCCCTTGGATGTGCAGTTTCCACCAAGGAACCCGACCCTCTGCCAGCCTAAGTTCTGCACGTGGCCAGCCGCGTCAGCCAAGGGAAGCCATAGCTTTGCACCTCGGCCTCAAAGGTCCCCAAAGGTTCTTTGCTCTGGAAAATGCCCAGTGAGTGACTGGCCACAGCTGTGATACTTGTGGGTTGGGAAAAGACGTGGGGAGGAGGGGAATGGGGTTCACATTTCCAAAGTCTCTGGAGTTTGGTGATGCCTGGAAGAACCAGCTGCTATGAGGGGGATGGGCAGAGCTGAAGATAAGTTTTGACTGGGCTTGGAGCAGCTTAGGAAACAGACTCTAGGACTCCCTTGGCCTTAGGAAGCCATTATTTTCCATGCCTTATACCACCGCAACAGACTGAAGAACCTTTACTCCAGGCTATGTTTTTAAGCCTAAACCGAAATCTGTTGATTATGTAACTAAGTAAAATGCATGGCTTCAGGCCTGGCTGGATCCAGCTGCTGAATGACAGCCTCTAGTTCTGCTCACACTCTGTCGTACTTCTGTTCTTAGTTCTTCTCCATTTCTGTCCCCACCTCTATGACCTCTGAACTTTCCTTCCATGTCAATGTCATGCTCTGGTGGTCCTCTCCATACAGTAGCACCCAGCAACTCATATTTATAACTTCCCTGTATAGTATCAGAAAATTCTAGAAAGATTTTAACACAAAGCTGATTGTTTTTCAAATTTTCAAATGGTTAATGTGCTGATGCTAGCTCTCACCCTCCTCCATATCATGTACATACAACACACACCACATTACATACATACAACTCACACCACTCATACCACACACACATACATCACACACCCCATGCCCCCCACACAATGCATATACCCCATACCACACACACATGCAACACACACACCATGACACACACACATACAATACCCCCCACCCTCCACAAATACAATACATACACACTGCACACCACCACAGAGTCAACACACACACCACACTCATACACACTCCACACCACACACATATAGCAACATTCTACAACACACACACCACACCACACATATACAACATACACACCCCATACCACACACATATATCACACACCACACAGTACATTGCACACACATACAACACCCTCCACATACTACACTCAATACAACAGACACCACACATTCCCACCACATAATCACACACACAACACACACAATGCATGCATACAAATACTGTCACACACCCCATGCACCACATACATCACACATACAAAGCACGTGAATACAAAACACACACATGAAACACCTCCACTTCCCTATCCCCACCACACATATACACAACACACGTATATCAAACACACAGAAAACAACACACATACCTCCCCCCACAACACTATAAACCACACACACACACACACACACACACACACACACACCACATATGTCCCACTGAGGCTCATCTGAATGGAAGGAGGGTTACCTATATTATTATCCACAGTGCTGTTACCATTGAGCTACTACTGTGGTGATCTGAAATGACAGAAAGCTAAGGATTCTGTGCTGGGGGCAGTGGTACAGGGGTACCATTGATGACTGGGATGTGAAAGTGGACATCTGTAGGAAAAGCTACTAGTGAGCAAGAAAACTCTAAGAATTCAAAGACCACAGACCTGCTGCTGGATAGTCTTCCTATAATGGAGTGGGTTTCAGATGAGCAGACTGTGGCCTCTGAACTTTGTGTTTGAGACTGAGGCATCTGAGATGCAAAACTGATGCAGGGATGTTTCTGTGGCTTTTGAGGGAAGGAAGCAAACTCTGGTCTGGGAGCAGAAGAGGTGGTGAGTTCAAGAAGAGAAAGTACAGTGCATTTGTTCAAGAGTCTGATAGGGTGACTGGAAGGACAGTCACAAGGGAAGGGCGAGATTGCCATCTGTTTGTTTCATCCGTCTCAGGCTGGCCTCAGTGTTATTAGATAGTTTAGGCTGACCTCGAGTTCAGATCCTCCTGCCTCCACCTCTCCAGTGCTATACCACTGTGCCTAACTTATCAGATAGTTTCTAAGGACAGAAGAGACTTTCATGTGTTGACAGGCTTATTGTAAAGACCCCATGAAGAGGGAGACACTGGGGCTGAGGTGAGTGAGGCTGCAATCAGGGGCTTTGGAGAGCCAGGTGGAGGCCCAGGCTCCAGCCACTGTGAAGTTTCATGACCTTAACTACCCTGTGCTTTGGTCATCTTTCTGGAAATGAGGATAGTTTGGGGGCCTACAGGGGGTTCTATGAGAATGGAATGGTAATCAGTGCCCAGCACACCACAGTGACATTTGTAAGTCATCGTCCCTGAGATTGCAGGATGGAGGTCATTATGGAATCTCAGCACAGTTGTTGGCCAGGGCTGAAGCCCGGCTGGTTGTCATGCAGGTTTCCTTGTATGAATCTGCTCAAGAGTGAGTATGGCCTGCAGGACCTAGAAACCTACTACCAAGCGCAGTCATCAGGACAGGGTCAGCCCATTTGAGGCTGGGATTTTCCTACCATTTGAGTGAATATAAGACTTTGCAATAGAGAGAGGAAGACACCCGAAATCATTCTCTGGCCTCTACATGTACTTGCACACACATTTACGTGCATGTACACACACATACACACACAAAGAAAATAGTGTGCATGAGCTGGGTGTTGCAGACAGTCTGGTAAGAAAGCATTCTCCTGCTGGGGACATGGCAAGGTTTCCATGCAATGAAATGTTAGAAGCCCTGTGCAGCGGACTCCATTTTGCATTGCACAAATAGCATCCCACAATTTGTTGTTCTGGCAACAGGCTTTTTTTTGTGGCTTGGGTCCCACCCAGAACTTCTGTGGATGCAGTGCCAGACCATTTTGCCACCTGCCTCCTGGGCACAGAATCCAGGGGAGGTGACTTGGTGAAGCTGTGCCTGGCCATGGGTCTGATATAGGAGCCAGCCTGGATCTATGAGGCTGGGAGAGTGAACTGTAGGGAGAACTGAGGGAACAGACCTTCAGACAGTCCTGCCTGTCAACACTGTCCAGAGGAAGAGCACAAGTGTTTATCAGAACTACTTGTTGTGCTAGGGGTTTTATACTTCAATACGCCCCAACAGGTCAGCTTTGAACGAGACTCCCATCCTTCCTGGGACTGAGGTCTTCATCTGGGATCAAAGAGTAGAACATGCCAGTAGTCCCTGTGCTGAGTTCTCTGGTTTCTGGGTTCCTGTGGAGATGCTGTAGAAAATGTCAGAGGGACATGAGTGGCCCAAGCCAGTGGGCTCAGTCCTCCTTCACCTGCTCCTTGCTGTGTTCTACAGACGAGTTTCATTTAAAGATTGCCTCCAAATTAAAAAGCCTCACAAAGCCATGGTCCATGATCAGTTCCTAAACCCTCCCCCATGACTGATTCATGCTTCTTTTGTTGGCACCCTGGGTTTACACTTATTTCTGTGACTCAGTTTCTCTGTATAGAGGGTGAAGGTTTGGCAAGAGTGTTTAGACTTTGTCTCTGTGAGCCTGGGATGTGGAGAGAATGTTAATACATTGAGTTGACTGAGTCTCGTTTTGCCTGCAGACTGGCCAGGTTCAGGGATCCATCCGTCTTGCCTGTCCTGCTTCTCCGGCATTCCTAGATGGTTCTAGGACTCGAGTGTAGCTCCAAAGGCCAGCAGAAAGTCATACTGCCTCTTCCCATTTCCTCTTTCCTCTAGGGACTCATGCAGTGGCATCTAAGCCCAGTTCAGCTGCCATTCATCAGCCAAAGTCCAGAGACCAGGAGAGGAAGAAGCGTGGCTTCACTTCCTCTCTGAGGATGGAGCCCCACGGCCACGCCGGAAAGAGCCGAAAATCCACCAAATTCCGCTCCATCTCCCGCTCTCTGATCCTCTGTAATGCCAAGCCCAGTGACGACAGCTCCAGCCCCGATGAGAAGTATCCAGATCCTCTGGAGTTTTCGCTGGGCCAGGGTAAGGAGGGGCTCCTCCATTCCTCCACACAACTCGCAGACACGTCAGAGGCTGGGCTCAACAATATTCCAGATCTGGCCCTGGCCTCAGAGGCTGCTCAACTCCAAGCAGTTGGGAACGACCGAGGCAAGCACTGTAGGAGGATGTTCTTCATGAAGGTACGCCCAGAATCTGCATGGCTATAAGTACCCATGGCTGGTGTCTGATTTGTGAATGAGCTTTTGAATCCATTTATTCAAAAGTCAGGAAAGCAGGGAATTCTCATTGTGACCAGCAGCAAGGCAAAAGTTGCGGCAGGATCCCCTGGAACTCGTTGAAATTGCCTTGAGATTGAATCAGGTGCAGTCAACACCCTTCCTTCCCTGAGAGATTCAATGAGATGTTGTGTCAATTGGAGATACACTGAGTCTAGATTTCCGGTGAAAAAGCTTAGGTGCAGTAGTCTGTACCTTACAAAGTTCTCTTTATACAAGCACTTCTGGGTAGGGTATAGGAATGTTCTCAAAGTACACCTGTCCTGAAGTCTTAGAGAAACAGGGACCCTGGGCATAGGAGAGGCCTTGGGCACACAGGGTAAGGCGAATGGGTGGAGAGCTTGCTTCTAGAATGCAACCATGGGTGTTTTCCAGGTGCTTTCAGTCAATTTCAATATAAGTAGGGACTTGTCAGAATTCAGAATTTTTCCATCTTGTTGGGTAGCATTTAAATTTCTGCTGTCCTCATGTGATGGAAATCAAGAAGTGTCAGGGCATTCAGGCTGATTAAAGAGCTTACTGTAATTAGTCCCTAAGGAGTGCTATGTCTTTGTACCATCTCTGGAAGAAGGAGACCTGGACCTTAGAGTTAGTGCAGCTCACACTAGATGGGTAGGCCTCAAGGGGTTGCTCCCCCAGCCTATTGCCAAGACTCTGGGTAGTCACCTGATCCAACAGTAGATAGGGAGGACATTCCTGGGTCTTGGGAAGGTCTGGAACCTTTGTCACATTGGCCTCCTTCAAGAAGGAAGTCCCTACTGCATAATAAGGGGCATCAGGCCACACTATAGAGCAGGTAGAGGCAGAATCTCCCAAAATGTCTATACACAAGCAGCATCCTTAAGGTTTAGCCCAGTGCAGGCTGTTCCATCACAATGGGGTGGTTTCTACTGTTACATCCTGAGCTCACCTGACAGGGCAGAAGATGAAGCCAGCATCCTGATGCATTCCAGGTAAGCTGAACAGGCTCCCAGCTTGCTATGAATGAAGAGAAAATAACCAACTGCAAGTTAAAGTTGTTTATTTGTCTGTAGTTAGGATTTCATGCATCCCAGGCTGGCCTTGAATTTGCTATGTAACCAAGGATGACCATGAACCTCTTATCCTCCTGTCTTTACCTCTACAGTGCTAGGATACCACACCTTGTTGGGGATCAAACCTAGGGCTTTCTACATGCTAGGCAAGAAGTCTACCAACTGGACTACATCCCCAGTTCACGAGTCAAATTTATTAATGACAATATAAATATCCAGTTGAGAGCTCAGATAAGAGAGATTGCAAAATCATTTGGGAATCCCACAGACTCCTAGCATGGGCTGTTCACCCACTTCCTTTTAATTACATAAGCATTTCCTGAGCACTTACTACGTGCTGGGCACTATGGTAATCCAGATCCTACCCATAAAGAACCTTGTTATTGCACCTGTGCAGTATGCATCTGGCCAAGGGATACGAATGTTAAGAATTCAGTGCATGATGATACAGTTAGTACTGAAGGGGTATAAAGAGGCAGTGAGCAGGATGAGGGAGTAGTGGGTCCTGGGGAACTGTGGCTACTGGGTTTTTTAAAAAGTATTTTTATTTTATGTGTATGAGTGTTTTGCCTGCATGCATGTAAGTGCACCCATGTCATGCAATGACTGCAGAGGCCAGAAGAGGGCATTGGATCCTTTGGAGCTGGAGTTACTGAAGGTTGTTAGCCATGATATGGGTGCTGGGAATTGAACCCCTTTCCTCTGCTCTTAACTACTGAGCCATCTCTCCAACACCCTTGGCTGTTGCTTTTGAAGGGTGATTGAAAAGCCTTCCCTACTGACATGACTCTTGATCAGGGATATGAATAAAGTGGGAGTGAGTCATGTGACCACTGTAGGCAGGGAATCACAGCCAAGGGTTCAGACAGCATGAGCAAAGACAGGAAGAAAAGAACACGAGTGGCACTTAGGAGCCTAAGGCAAGATGATGGCTTAGGCAAGTCTGGGTTATGTAGTATGATCAAGTCCATATTGGGACACAACAGAACTTTGCCTCAAAAAATAAAAATAAAAAAAAAAGAAGAAGAAGAAAAAGAAAGGAGTGTGCTCATGAAACATCAAAAAGTCTAGAACACAGTGTGTTGTGAGGAATGGGAAGAACGGCAGGATGCCAAGCTGAGGCAGCAGCCAGGGTCCTGAGCAAGGGCTGCGCAGGACCTTGGAGCTTTACTGTAGGGACCGGAAGCTGGGGAGTGGTGTGATCATATTGTTTTAAAAGGAGCACTCTGGGTCCTGGGAAACAGTGATGTGGGCCTGTTGGGAGGGTGCAGTGGTAACCTAAGCCAAGAGTCATTAGGCTTGTACTAAGGTGGCAGTGACCAAGACCCCAAGAATGGTCAAGGCAGGTCTTTATGGTCTAGGCAGAGCTAGAAGGACTTGCTGATGGAGGATATGTGTGAGGGATGAGAGGACTCACTCAGCTGCACATTTTAACTAGAACAGCTCAGGGAAGGAGGTATAGTATCTAAGCAGAGAGGCAGCAGGGGCTGGAAATATGGCCAGAAAAAGCAGAGTGGTTCTATGAATGAGTTATCGTCTTACCAGGCAGAGGCTAGTGGAAAGGATTCTAGCTGGAGGAGACTGCTTAAGCAGAGATGGAGGGGAGGACATCCAAGGGCCTGGGCCTGGGCCGCTGGAACAGATGGGCATGTTTGAGGCTCCTTTGGTACACCTGTCCAGCTTCAGAAGGCAAGGAAGGCATCGGGGAAAGCCAGACAACAAAGATTAGGAGTAGGAAAGGGAGATGACTGAGAGGGGGCAAAGACACTGGGGCAAACTTTACCTTTTTTTTCTTTTCTTTAAAAAAATCTTTTTATGACTCTCATACGCTATATACTTTAAAATATTTTATTTGTTATTTTTATTTTATGTGTATAAGTGTATTTCCTGTATGTGTGTAAATGCATCCGTGTTGTGTTGTGCAATACCCTTGGAGGTCACAAGTGAGCCTTGGATTGCCTGGAACTGGAGTTAACAAACAATTGTTAGCCTCCATGTATGTGCTGGGGACCGAAGCAGGGTCCTCTGCAAGAGCAGCCAGTGCTCTGAACTGCTGAGCCGTCTCAGCTCATGTGCCATATACTTTTAAAAAATTCACCATGCTTATCTCCTTGTCCTTTGTCCACCAAAACCCTAGGAGGGCAGTCATAGCCCTGTCTTCAGCAGCCTTGGGTTAAGGGTGTGGGCTCCCTAATCTGATTGTCTAAGGTTGGACCCTAACTCACCATTTACCATCTGTCCAATCCTGAACAATTCACTTTCTCCAAGTCTCAGTTTTCTTATCCACTAAATTTTGACTACCAGTGATGGTACATAGCTCATATGGATCCTATGATGATAAAATTGCAGGTATTTTCTTGAGACTGCTCATCTGTGCCACTACAGTACACATAGTAACTACTTGATAAATATTATCGGTTCTATTTTTGAGACTGAGAACACTGATTCTGAGTAATTAAATAACGAAGTCAGTAACATTTATTGAATCCCTCTGAAGTGCCATGCAGTGGCCAGGAGTTGTAGCTCTCACAGTGCTCACAGACTGATGAAGGAGACAGGAATGGACCAGATCATCGTGGTTTCCACTGTGGTCAGGGCAGGGTATGGTTCAGGGTGGGGTATGGATCAGGGCAGGGTGTGGATATGCCAGGCTCCTTGATTTGGGGAGGGGTGTCCGGGCAGGTGACTGTGGAAAGCAGGGTGATACAGGATGGAAGTATGGACTGTAGGGAGAAGTACTGATGTGAAAGGGACCATGAGCCAGGTGGAGGCTGTGCCAAGGTATGCTAGGGTGGAGGACAAGGCTGGTCAGATGTGAGTCAGAAACAAAGAGAGGAATACTGTCTGGCTGAGGGCTGGAGATCTGGGTCCTTTTAAAGGAACACAGGTGAACCTTAAAGACCCATCAATGCCTTGTGAGTGTGTTGGTTGTCTGAGCCCCCTCTTCATCAGAGATACCAAATCAGAGAGGTCAAAGGCCACAGCTGGCCCTTATACTTTTTGTGGAGGTTCCTAAGAGCAACTCACAGCCACCCACTTCTTCCTTCCAGCAGGGACACACCAGTCCCCACCCTGGGCTCCTTCCCTCCCCTCAACAGAACGGCCCTATGCTTAGGCATGACTCAGTTGGCCCAGATGGACTCCTTAGCTTCCAGCAATGCCTTGGTTACACCGATTTCAAAATAACATCTGGAAGAGCCCTTGTGACGTCTGCTCTAGAAACGCCTAATGTGAAAATTAAAGAAGAGGAAGTTGCGTAATCAGCCAACTTAAAAAAAAAAAGCCTCTTTGGATGGTTGTATATGGCACACCCAGCGCTGATTAGATTCCTGCCTGAGAGTGTGCCAAAGCTGGAAGGGACCACAGGAGTGTTAAAGTGAACACATGGGTAGGAGTGGGCATCGTGTACCTGATAGGCACTTGCTCCTCAAACTTCACATCTGGAGTCAGACTTGAGTAGCAGTAATATTGAAAGCCAGGTTTCCCAACCAAGAACCTCAGTGGATAACACCGACACTTGGAAAGGAATTCCTGTCTTTTTCAAAATGCAAAGAGTATTTTACAATTTTAAATTTCTTCCTTTTTCTTTTCTTCCTTCTCTCCCTTCCTTTCTTTTTATCTTTCTTTCTTTCTCACAGAACCTCACATAAACTAGGCTGGCCTTAAGCATACTATTTGGCCAAGGCTGACCTTGAATTTCTGGTCTTCCTGCATCTACCTCTAGGGTGTACACTATCACTCCTGGTTTAAGCAGTGCTGGGGATCCAACCCAGGGCCTCCCAAATACTAGCCAAGGACTCTGTCAAGTGAGCCACCCCATCTTGAAAGAACATTTTAATGCCTTTTCAGGAGACTATCGAGGCCAAGGGA